TCCGAGATGGTTCGCCGAGCCACTAAGTTAGAGGTTTGCCAGAATGCCCAGAGGGCGGCTGTCCCATCCTATCAGCAGACCCCTATGATTCAGCCTATCTCAGCTGTTGCACCCGGTTCTAATTCGGGCAAGAGGAAGGCCGACTACCACCAGAACAAGAAGAAGGGCAAGAAAGGGAACTTCGGGAGGCGTGATGACCGACCCCCTCAGGGACAGCTTCCGAGGTGCCCTAACTGCGGCAGGTTCCATGGGCCAGGAGAGTGTCGAGCAGCCGACAGACACTGTTTCAACTGCCACCGTGCTGGACATTTTTCGCATGTGTGCCCCGAGCCGAAGAGGCCACAGCAGCAGCCACCTTACCCTCAGCAGCAGCTTCCACCTCCGCCCCATAAGCAGCAGCCCAGACAGCCCCCACCTTACCAGCAGAGGACTGGGGGTCAGGCCCGCGTGTACAACATCACTCATGATGAGGCAGCCAACAACGCAGGTACTATGTCCGGAATGCTTTCGATATCCAACGTGCCTGTTTATGCTTTATGTGATACCGGAGCCACTCATTCTTTCATTTCTACTCGATGCTTGGAGGCTTTGTCCATTAGTAATGTGTGCCCTTGTGATCCTCTCGAGGTTAGCCTAGCCTCGGGAAGGATTATTATTTCTGATTCTTTGATTCCTAGTCTTCCAGTCAGTATTGGTGTACATATTTTGGAGGCCAGTGTTTATGTGATTGAAATGCGGGACTTCGATGTGATCTTGGGCATGGACTGGCTCACCCGCTATCGAGCCGACATCCGGTGCCAGGAGCGCGAAGTCACTCTTCTTTCTGTATCTGATCAGCCAGTTGTATTCTTTGGGGTGAAGTCGAGGACTGTACCTCGAGTCATCCCTTCTATGCAAGCTAGGAAGAGCCTTTCCAAGGGTAGCTGTCAAGGCTATCTTGTTTCTATGGTGTCTGAGGATGATTCCGAGCGTACTCCGGAGCGAGTTTCTATTGTTTGCGAATTCCTTGATGTTTTTCTCGATGAGCTGCCTGGAGGACCACCAGACCGCCAAGTGGAGTTCACCATTGACTTAG